AGCGTTGAGAACATGGAAGTGAGGTGGTTCCGGTCTGAGTTTAGAAATTATGTTCATCTGTACCGTGATGGGAGAGATGATTTTGGAGGACAGATGCCAGAATACAAGAGAAGGACAGCGTTTTGGAAAGATGGCCTCACACATGGAAATGTTTCCTTGAGGATTGTCAATATCAGGCCTTCAGATGAAGGGCACTACCACTGCCTTGTTGCTGATGGTATTAATGATGAAGAAGCTGTAATAGAACTGGAGGTAGCAGGTCAGTGGCTTCTGTCAGTTTATATCTGCATGGTTTTCAGGTTTTTTCTCTTTCTTAATATGCCAACTTCATGGAACCTATGTATGAATTATTTTACAATCAGAGACTGTATTTGAATTTTATTCACATTTCAGAAACATGTTTCATTTTTTGTCAGCATTTTAATAATTTTAAGCAACATCTCAAAAGCAGTTAGTTTTTCTTTGTTCTTGATATCTCAGTGCTTAGGACCTTGTAATTTCCAGCCTAAATTTATTCACATTCAAGTTATATACATTTTTTCTTGGATCAATATTGTCTTTTAGCCTAAATAGTATTTTATCGTATGTCATATTTAGTTCCCAATATAGTTACATAGAGCAAACATATCCCTTTCTGCCTGTGTTTTGCTAGACTGGAACAGCCCAGCTGTTCTCCTAAAATAAACCCTTCTCTTTTGAAATCCCAATCCTCAATTACAGTCCTAATTTGCTTCTTTTTCCATGTAATTTGAACCCTGTCAATCTGTAGTCAGTCATGGGGGCGCCCCCCTCCAGCCTTTACCCTCTCTTTATAAATATGGCTTATTCTAATAATCTACTACCAGTTCTCTGATTGCCTGTGTTCAAATTTCATTGTTTCATGGGAACTTTAGAAGCTGAACTGAACCAGTTCTGTTGTGGACTTGGATGATTTCAATTGGTTGGGATTTATGTTCCTATGAAATGTACACACCCGGGAAGGGAGTATTTCTTATGCCTTTCCTTTTACCTAATTTGGAGTTTCACTGACGAGGCTGCTTTGTTTTCACATCTAAGACACTTGAACAGAAGTATCTATTATAAAAGAATATCCAATAAATTTAGTTACATTAATCATTACTATAAAATGAAGCAATTATGTCATATATTGGGATTACCTGCATTAAGCCCTTGTGCTCCCTTTAATCTGATCTGCTTCAGCTGTACATGCCATTTGCTTTCTTTCCTTTGCCAGACGTCATGTCTGCAAAGGTTCATTTCATTCTGTGATCACTCAGAAACAGGCTTTTGGGACTTTTGCTATAGCCATACTTTGTAGCTCTGCAGAAAATTATCTTTAAAGGCAACCAACAATTATTCATGTCTGCCTTCGGTCAATAAAAACACACTATCGTGTAGTACGATTCCAACTAGCTACACTTTGCTTATGGCTAGAATGCAAACTTAATGCGTTAGGCTTGTGCTGGGTCCAGAGTCTGCACTTCGTGTTGTGGAGTTTCAGTCCCTGAATCCTACAGCCTGTGCCTGAAGGCTACAGTCATTTATAATACCCTCATTACCTACCAAAATCAGATCTCAATGACCATAATTTGTTATTGACTCAGTGACTATTTGATGATGAAATTTCTCAGCTATCACATCCAGGAATATCTAGGCTCTATAGTTGTTAATAGAATTGCTGCCCTGCTCTGCAATATCTAGAAATTCTTGAAAACAAGGTTTCCACAGTCCTTTACAAAATTGACTCATAGATTTAAGAAATATAATTTCTTTCTTTTCTAGCTTTAGGCTCTAATCCTATCATCTCTGTGGAGGATTACCAGAAGGGTGGGATCCGCATGATATGTCGATCAGCTGAGTGGTACCCAGAGCCCCAGGTGCTGTGGAGAAATGCCCAGGGATATCATATAGCATCGCTTTCTGAAATCAAATCCCCAAGGGCAAATGGCCTGTTTGAAACAGAAATTTCTGCTGTCATAAATGGAGATTCAAACCCGAACTTGTCCTGTTGGATCAGGAACAGCCTCCTCGACCGAGAGAAAGAATCAGCAATTCATATATCAGGTCAGTTTCTATCCAAACCCTACAGGGAACCACCTCCGCTGGAACCCAAGTGAAACATGAAGCAAACACACACATGACTCGCATTTCCACAGGGTTATAATAGAAATCCATTTACCTGTGTATTTGTAGTTTATGAGAATCTGGATTTTATCTCACTCTAACTTCTGAAATTTTACCTTAGAGAAACTGGCAGACACAGTCACTCAAAATATCAATGCAGTGTGGTTTTGTAGTCTCAAGTTTGTCTACGTGAATTTTCAGTGGGTATTTCTTGGGTATTTTGCTAGCATCTACCTACTAGTATTGAGTTATTCGTGAATCCTTAAAGGATTTTCAGTGCACTGCAACATTGTTCATTTTTTATCAAGTAAAATTCACTAAGTTGTATGTTGTTGCTCCTCTTTTAAGGGTCGTTAAGGGGAAGGAGGATTTATTTAAAAGGCTTTTTCAATATCACTTGTGATTCTGAAGCAATCTGCCCTTCTCTACATGCTGAGGGCATTTACAGATGTGCTCCAGGAGGCTGTGGTGTGTGTGAGAGGCGGGGGGCAGAGGGGGCAAGGCTTTATTTAGCACATCTCTGAGCTTTAGTTTAAAGCCCCTTGCTGCCATTTTTCAGCACAGGAACACTGATGCGCATTATGCTGGAAGCTGCTGGAGCACAGTTAATCCCATACTCCAGCAGATTCAATTAACTGAGTCTGCTCCAACGCACTGTAATTATAGGATGTTGGAGCAGTCTCTCTACATGTGTATACGAGCCCTCAGTGTATTCACTGATCCATGTCATAAATAGAAATTTATTTCCTTTGCAACTGCTACATTTCAGGGTTATTTTGCCTTCCTCTGAACCACTGAGTGTTTCCTGCAGCCAGGGCTGGGGAGTTTGACTGGCATGTCCTGCTGAGGCTTAAACCCAGAAGATCCTGGGGTCTTGCCCAGGGTCAAACCACTTGACATATTTGGAGTCAAGAAAGATCTTTACCCCCTGGTTAATTAGTATGGACTGCGGAGGATTTATCTTCATCTGTAGCAGGGGAGAATGGCCCTCTTCCTTGAGTCTCTCAAGCACAGTATAACAATCCTCGAACCAGAAGGCATTGAGTGCTGTGCTACCCCTCACCCCTGTTTTATCTGTGGCAGTTTAGGGCTTTTTGTCTTGTAGTTGTGTCAGGGTTGACTATAGTTTTTTAAGAGACTGGACAATGGGTTTGTTTGTATAAAACAATTTGGACGGAGAAGATCCTGCCTCAGGCAGGGGGCTGGACTAGAGACCCTCTAGAGCAGGGGTGTCCAACCTTTTTCAATGTGGGGCCGAATCATGAACTTTTTATCACCCAGCAGGAGCGGGCGCTCGCGCGGCCTGTCAAGTCCAGCTGCAGCCTGGGGGCGCAGGGGTCAAGGGGTGCCGCCTGACCCCGCCATGTCCTCCCTGCCACCTGGGCAGCCTCGAGGATGCTCCCACACCTGCGCACCTGGGCTCAGCAACCAGGGGGATATGTGGGGACTCTACAGGGGGGTGCGGGCTATGCAGGGACACCCCCCTGCTTTCTCTCCCCTGGGGCAGCCCGAGCCCGAACCCAAGCGGCAGGGGTCCCTCCTTCCCCAGGCCCGTGACTCATCACCCGCAGCTCAATGTCTGCATGTGCAGTGGGGTGCGGGGAGGTGGGAGCGGCACTGGCTTTCAGCCCCGACAGCCACAGCAGCAGCAGCATCTCCTGCAGGCCTGGCCGCAGCATCCCTCCGAGCCAGCATCTGCGCCCCCTGCACCCGCCCGCCCGCTGCACCGCGACCTGCTCCCGCCCATGC